CTACGGGATCGCAGCCCTCGGTGTTGCACCCGCACCTCGCTCAGCCAGTGAGCGGCCGGTCTGTATGTGGGATCCGAACCCTCGGCGGGAGCACCGCCACACTTCCCAAGCGGCGCACTGTAGCAGTGTGCCACCGGGCCGGCCCCCAATCTTGAATTTCTAGAATAAATATTACTTGGGCATGTATGATTTTTAAAAATTTAGTATTGGATTCTGTTTGCTTACATTTTAAGGTATTTACATTGATATGCATAAGTGAGGTTAGTCTGTGATTTTATTTTTGGGTGCAATCTTTGGCATATTTTGCAGTTGGTTTTACATTTGCTTTATAAAAATAATTTTGAAGTAAAAGAAGTTGTTCTTTTACTATGCTCTGGAATAACTGAAGTAGCATTGAGATTATCTGACCTTTAAAGGTTTGGTAGAATTCTTCTGTGAAACCACCTGGGCCTGGTGCCTTTTCCCTTTTCCTCATTAAAAAAATTAAAAATATAATACATGTACTGAAAAGTGCACAAATCACAAATGTACAGCTCAGTGAATTTTTTCAAATGGAATATATTTGTGAATATATTTGTTTAATCAACATTTAGAGCAGAAACAGAAACTTATTAGCACGCCAGAAACCTCCCTCATGTCTTCTTCTCATCGTTAGCTTCCCACTGGAATAAGAGGCTGAAGCCTTTTTGTCATGGAGCTCTTTATGCTCTTATTTTTTCCCCCTATGGTAACTGGTCTGCTTAGATTTATTGTCTCCACGGAGGTCACTTTTGGTAAATGGTGGGGTTTTTTGGTTAACTATTTCATCTAGGCTTTCATATCTATTTACATAGAATTGTACAAATTAGTTTTAGGATTTGAAAGTTTTTTTTGTTGTTGTTTGTTTTTAAACCTATTATCTTCCTTAATTGTTAAAACCACAGGCACTGGATATTTTTTTCCCAAGTGTTCCATCAAGCTGCATGCAACAGAAGTTATAAATCCCTCTGTGTGTGTGTGTGTGTGTGTGTGTGTGTGTGTGTGACAGTGTTACTGAAAAGATACTTTTCTATGTATTTATCTGTCTGTTCAGCTAGCTATCTAGGTATTTATCTAGGTTTCTAGTAATCTATCTGTATTTCATATGGTGAGGAGTGAATTGGAAGGGTGTCTACGAAAGACTGACAAAGAGAGATTTGGCTGGGCTGTCTCTTCTCTCCCTTCTGCCTTCAGCTACAACGTGATACCATCTTGCAACCATGAGAGAGAAGCCAAGAAAAGTGTGGAGGCATCAGCCCTGCCATTGATGAGCTGCTGAAATAACACTAGGAACCACCTACCTCCAGAGTTTTTAGCAAGTGAGATATAAACTTCTGTTCATCTGTGCCACTCTGAGCGTTCTGTTATTTGCAGCTGAACACATTCCTAATTGATCCAGTAAATAAGATAGGCAAAACCAGAAAACCCTAGCATTCATAGTATATGAATGTTTAAATGCAGGAAAATTATCCTAGACACACAAAGTTCCCCAACTCTAAAATAAGAACCTGGGCAGCAATTACTCAAATTAAGTGCTTATTGCAATGACCTTTTTAGTGTAACCCTTATTAAAGGCATACTTTGCATAAATTATTCACAATGTTTTAGATATAATTTACCTTTGTCACTTTTGAACTAATGTGCATAATGGGATAGGACCTGTTGAACAACTGATGGTGTAAGTCCTCACAGGGTTTTAAAAGGATTAAATGAGATAATCTACATACAGGGTCTAGAACAGTGCCTGGCACATGATAAAGTGCTCCATAAATGTTGATTATTATGTCTTAATCTTTCATAATAATAAAAAATAATATTAGTTATTAGTACTTGGATGGCTAGCCCCTTTTCATCCTTCATGCTCCCGTAAAAAAGTTGACCTCTTCAGAGAGGCCCTCCCAAGCTAGTTTATCTAAAGTGAATCTTTCCCCAAATACCTTCCATTCCCCATGGCCCCCATCCTGTTTTTCTCTCAGAGACCTTGTCACCATCTGTGATTCTTTTGATTATTTGTTAGTAAATATGTGTCTCCCCCACTAGAACATAAACCCCCTTAGAGTAGAACTCCCACTGACTAGCATAGATTCTATACTCTATTCATTTGTTGAATGAAAGGTGGCCAAGGCCATCTAATAAAATAATAAGAGAATGCTGTTGTTGCAGGCAGGCTGTGCAGACCTGGGCATTTCTTTTGGTATAATTTTGCCCACATTTAAATAAAAGTGGAGGTGGATAAAAATACTGCCCAACTCTAAACCTTTTTCATACTGTGAGGGGGCCTAGTGGGTTTTTTAATTATTTTTTAATCTCCAAAAGTTCAATGAAAAGTCATTTTAATATTTAGCTTACACACCTTGGCAAAGTTTGGCACAAATTGTTACCTTTGCTAAAACATGTTATTTTGCATTCGAATAGAGATTTAAAATTCAGCTTAAAATTTTTAAAAATAATGGCTTCTTGTAATCAAGGATTTAAATGAAATTTTTTATATGTGTATTTAATATGTATATTATATATAATAAATATATACACACACATATTTATACACATAGGTTTTTTGAGGATCCTAGCATTTCAATTTTAAAATAGCCCTATAAAGATTATGTTTGGTACCAGGGTCAAAGGGAAAATGGAAACAAAAATGTTTTAAATGGAAGGGATGAGTCCTAAGGTAGGGAAGCAAGTCTCACACACAACAGAGTGACTGGAGGGGCCCCCCTGATGAGCCCTGAACCGGTGGGAGGCAGGAAGGAGTGTGCCCAAGGCCACTTTCTGAGGGAAGAGGACCCCACCCACCCACCGGATGTGCAATCCCATGGTGCCCTGCAGGATTTCCCCTTGGGGTCATAGGTCATGGTCCTGACAACTAGCGTCATGGAAAAAAACACCAGGAGACCTTTTCCTTTTTTTTCCAGCATCTTCCAGGACAATAGGATCATGTAGCAGCCAAACAGTGGGCTTTGGCTACCTGAATTTGAAGCCCAGCTTCCCTGCTTACTAGTGATGTCTCTTGGGGCCTCTCTGGGCCTCTGTTACTCATTGGTAAAATGGTGGCAATAGCCAAATGTATCTCACTGGGCAGAGACTGGCACATAGTAGGTTCCCAATACTGTGACTTTTATTACCCTCCTTCTAGATGATACCATGAAGTCTGCCAGTTTTGATCAACAAGGTAGGGTGCTGGGCTATTATTTCCCTTAGTATAAATGCCCCATAGCCTGGGAATCTGTTTTTAATTTTGATGGATATGTGGCTAGAGCTGTGACAATCTTATTTGGATCATCCAGAGAATGTTCCAGAATTTCTATGAAGGAGGGACAGAGGTGGCCATCTTGGAAGACAGGCTAGGGGACTGGAGTTCGGCTTGATTTCCCAGTCAGCACAGGCACATGATCTTGTAGTTGTGCTTGATAGCTGCTGCCAGGGTTTTAGCTAGTTGTTTATTTGGGGTGCTTTGGAGGATTTGGGGAATTTGTGGGGTGGTGGTCCTGGTGATATCCACGTAGCAAGCCCTGATTTTTACTTGGATTGCATATTTATCTGGGGGACTTTCAAGGGCTGTTTTGTACTGAAATCTGTATAGCAAACAGTTATGCGGACTGAATATTATGTAGAAAGCTCTGGAAAGGTTTATGGAGACAGGGGTAATTGCTACTTCTTCTGCCCTCCTTGGGGCTACTGGATGATTAATGTGGCTGGGATTAATTTGATCTGGAAAATAGAACAGGAAGTAGATTTGAGGCCTGGATTCCAGAATTAACTGTCCCATCCAGCCAGTTTCAGAGGGTGCAGTGGTTGATGCTGGGGCAACCCTAATCTCCCACCTTTCCAGGGAGCCACATTGTGGGTCGTGTTTGATAGGGGGGCCCATGACTGCCACTGACTGCCCCCACCTCCAATTATGGTGAAAGTTTATTTATATTTATTTTCATTATGAGTAATGTTCCACATATTTCCAGATGTTTATTAGCTGTTTGTATCTTTTTAAAAGTAAATTGCATCAACATTTTCCTGATGGTTTTGCTTATTAATTCTAAGAATTCTTTACTTATTAGGGAAACCAATAACCAACCTTTGTTACAGATTTTTACCAAACCCAACCCCCTCCCTCACTCATTTTTTGTTTTTATATGTGATTTTCATTTGTGTATAATCGCTAAGACCTTTATAGCTTTTAGGTCTTAGGTCATGATTAGAGAGGCCTTATATAAACCAAGATTTTAATTGTAAAAACAGCCACTTTTTAAAAGTACCTTTTTAATTTAGATGTGATTGCTCCACATCAAATTCATTTTGGTGTGGAGAATGAGGTAGAGATCCAGCTTAAAAATTTTCCCAAATGGCTAAGTTATCTCAACACCATTTCTTGAATAATCCCACCTACCCCCACTGATTTTAAATACTGTTTTCCTAAATTTCTTCCACATAATTTAGTCCATTTCTTATTAAAAAAAAAAACTTTTTAAGGGGAGACTGTGTAAACAGGCATGTGGTGTAATGATGTCACAGTAGAAATTGGTAGAATCTTCGGATAGGGCAGCAATGATCAAAATATGGATTTTTTTCACTGGGGCATAGAGGTTTACGATGGGACACAGCTGTGCAAGGATGGACAAGGGGTGCATCTTTTGTATTCTCTATAACGTGTTTTAAGAAACCCAAAGATTAGGTCACCAGAAAATACACAGTGACAAGACTTTACACCCACTCACCACCTTGGGGCCTGCACCTCAACGTGTATCCTTCCAGCTTCGGAGGCAGGGACCAAGTCGTAACCCTAAGCCATGGAAATGTGCTCGGAACCGCAAATAACTCATGGGAGTCACATCACTTTGCTCACATTTAATTTTTATTTTGATTTTTTTAATGCTGCACAACACGATATTTTTTTCATTTATTTCTTTGTTTCATTTATTTCGTTTATTTCTTTTTGTTTGCTGCTGTTATTTTATTTTCTGAAAGTGAGAGGGAACTTCTGTGGCCTTTTTCTTTTTTCTGTAGGCCGCCTTAAGCTTTCTAAATTTGGAACATCTAAGCAAGCAGAAGGGAAAAAGGGGTTTTTTAAAATCACTTGGGGGAGAGAGGAAAGGCTGCTTTGTTAACCATGCCCTATGGTGGGTGATTAACTGCTTGTACAATTACGTTTCACTTGTAATTAATTGTGCTTAAGGCTTTACTTAAATTTGGGGGTTCCCTCCTTAAAGCAGCTCGTACTGACGAAGGTGCATGCGCTGGATGATGTCACGGCAGTCGTTGAACACACGGCGGATGTTCTCGGTGTCCACAGCGCAGGTGAAGTGAGGATAGCAGTAGTGGCGCCCATCTCCACTAGCAGTGCTGATTCTCTGTGGGCACAAACACAAGGACTTGGTCAGTGACACCCTCTCCACGAACCCCCATCAGCCACAGGGACATCTACCAAGAATGACTGTTGACCAGCTGCTGATGTAATATTCAAACCAAACGTAGGGCACAGAGAGCTAAAGCTCACACTGATAATGGTGAAATAAAGTTGCTTAATAGTGACACCCTCTCCACGAACCCCCATCAGCCACAGGGACATCTACCAAGAATGACTGTTGATCAGCTGCTGATGTAATATTCAAACCAAACGTAGGGCACAGAGAGCTAAAGCTCACACTGATAATGGTGAAATAAAGTTGCTTAATATCCCTACATTCATAATTAAGAAAATTTACATCCATAAGAAAAAAAGAACAAGAAAGAGAGGAAACTGAAGACAGGATCTACTCACCAGAAACTCATCTCGAATGAAGTACTTGGCCCGGGTCACGCGTGGGTCCTCTCCGGGCTCGGGAGTCGCTGCAAAAAATTTAAACATTTTATTACTTAAGGAAAATTAAAGGTTACAGTAGAGCTAGGGTGCTGACATCACTGTAGCCTCCTGATTTCTCCATACAAAAGTGAGTGGAGGTAAATTTCTCTTGCTTCCCCTACAGATCCTTTACAGTTCGGTGGTGGGAGGGGGGTGGGGTTTTCAGCCAGACCACCTGAAGAAGAATCACCTAAACGAACCACAGCCAAGCATGGAAGCTGTACATACCATCCTCAGGAGTAGTGTAGCGAGCGAACTCTGGAAAGTAGTCCTCAATCTTCGATTTCCCAGCAAGGACTTTCTCAGCGAGCAGATCTTGCTTGTTGAGGAACAGAATCACAGAGATGGTGCGCAGCCATCTAGAAAAGAGGGAAGCAGATTTAATGTCCAGGAAAAGAACACATGGTTTCTGCAAGTGGTTTGAAATGTTTGCATGAGAACTTGCACAAGCTTCTTTTCTGTAACAGCATAAATCAGGGCCTCAAGATCAGTAATATGACTGCAGGGCAATCTGAGAAAGGGGAGTGTCCCTCCACCAACCTGTTGTTCCAGATGCTCTTGAAGAGGTTCAGAGCCTCCTGCAGACGGTTGGTCTGGTTGTCCTCCCGAATGACCATGTTGTAGCTGCTGCTGGCCACCACGAAGATAATGGCAGTCACATCTTAACCGCAAGAAAGCAAAAGCAATAAATATTGGAAGCAGGGATGACCCTTCATGATTACAAAAGCAAAACGTCCTTGAAGGAGCAGCAAAGCCCATCACATCCATACCATTGAAGCACTGGATCCATTTGCGGCGTTCATCGCGCTGGCCGCCCACATCGAACATGCTGGTGGGGAGAAAGGACATCCGTTATTCCACACGGCCTGTCATAGAGAATGGCAAGAAACCCCTCTCTCTGTTTTATAAAAAGTGAAGTATTCACTTACTGGAAGTTGACTTTGTCCACCTGGAACTTGGTCTCAAAGATTCCAGAGGTCAGGACACGGCAGCGAAGCAGGTCCTGAAACAAAACCCAGGTCAATGGATCCCACCAAAGCCAACCAAAATAATAATTGCCAATCTGGAGCAAAAATCTTGAGTCGCCTGTTAAAAGGGCTGAAAGCCCTCTGAATGTGAGTGGTTTTGCATACCTGGTCGCTGGGCACATAGTCGGCCTGCTTGATGACATCAATCTTGTCCAGGAAGCTAGGAGAAAAAGAAAGACACTAGAGGTGTTCACAGAGCCACATCAATTGCCAACTATCTGTGTCTCTCTATATGGCCAGGCTGAATGGAAACATCGTCCCGCAGTTACACAGCACTAAGGCAGTGGCACTTTTGAATCAGGGAACTGGACACATTGTCTAGCAACTATCCTGTGAGCTCTCAGGGTACCTGGACTACACAAAGAGCATAGGACAGTGGTGTGGGTTTATTCTTTTATTTTTAAAAGGTTAATTTTGTGCTAATCGACCAGTAGAAAGAGGACCCCAAATCAGGCCTATCATATTCTATGCCATTTGATAATGATTGACAGAAAAATTAAAAATTTCCAACTGTTTGGCTAAAATGGCTAATAGTTTCAAAACTGTACACCTCCGTCATTAGGCTTTTTTAAAAATGTGAAGTGGCAAACTTACAAGAAGCAAGGACCTTCCCTCAAGGGCAAACTTAGTTACTCAGAATCTGTGTCCCTTCCTTTTTACTTTTTAAGAATCTCATTGATTAAAGAGAACAAAGAAACTGGCACAAAGGGGCCCTTCTTGCCCTAACCACACTGAGCAGGAAACAAAGTTCCTTTCCGTTCTATTTGCTCTATGAAAGAGAACACTCCAGATATTAAACTTATAGTTTAAAAAAGCATCTTGCTTGTGTTGCTTGACTAGACACCCAGGAAAATTAACTTTTGAAAGATTTAATTAATATGGAAAATGAATGTTAAAGCCAGTTTTTTTTTGAGGGGGGGAGTGGGAGGATTGGGGTGGAGGTTGGAACTGTTTTAAAGTAGGTTAATCAGAAAAGAAAATCACAAAGGGAGAAAGGGAGAAAAGACTATTTAAAGAAATTCCCTAAGTTTTTTCCCCCCTGCCTTTTTACCAGTTCTGAGTTCGTCTGGCTTAGAGGAGATACTGACTTGCCCAATCATTCTCACATTATAGCACCAGTCCAGAAATAGCTCCCCAGCCGCCCTGGCCTCCAGCGCGTTGCCATGGCAACAGAACCACAGTTCTATAAATAGCTCATCAGCACCAAATCTTGTGAGAGAGACATCTGGAGTGGAGCCAGCCAAACCCCAGCTCAACAAATAAAAATAGGCAGCTTAGGAAATGGGCACAGCACCGGGATCTCAACTTTAACATAAAGGCAGTTAAGCCAGAGAAACACAGTGGTCACTGCAAATGCAAGGCGGTTCCAACCACCCGGTTAGGGAAGACGTTTGCAAAGTTTTAAACTTTGTTGTCCTCTTTTCCTCAGAGTTTCCTTAAAACTTTTCATAATCTGTGCTAATGGTGCTGTGTTTGCAGATAAAGTTTCTCAACTAATTAAGTGTTGCTTTAAAAAAACTTTTAAATGGCGTGACAAAAAAGAAAAAAAAGAAAAAAACCCACAAAAATATCTGGCTAAACTGCTGTTAATTAATGAAATGGTTGAATTCGCCTCCCCACCTCCCAGCGTTCAAAACTGCTATGTTAAACCCTCCTAATCTGTACCTGTACTTAGCTTCTGACTTGGATCCAAAATACAAAACGCAAACAATTCCAGGATTTCCATTTGTTTTGCGTTACTATAATTAGCGCTTCCAGCTTGTAGTTAGAACTTTGAAGAAAATCAGGGACTTTGTTGGAGAAGGAGTGGGGGTTGGGGGTCACAGGGACTGGCCAAGATGGGTTGTTTTTCTGTTCCTTGAAAAAATATATATTTTTTATAACCCTGACCACCATATGCTTGCTGTATCATGTACAGGATGAGGGAGGTCATAAACTATTTAAAAGGCAACTTTCCAGAGGTGTGATATTATGTCCACTGGAAGAGAGACCCTGAAGGGTGACGGGGACAGAGTGAGGATCCCACGGAAGGTAAGTCAGGTAATAGGCAACAGGTGTGGTAGCTTAGGTGGCATTAGGTATAGGTATGCAATAAAATGTTTTTAGATTTTTTTTTTCCTTTACCAATGCACTAATCAGGTGAGCCTGCTTTATAACTGACTTTGGAGAAAGATGACTTTCACGTTGCTATTGCTCGCCTTAACCTGTTTTCCTCACAGGTAATTCGTTTTTTAAAAAATTTGTTTGTTTTCAGATAATTCATTTTATTTGAAAATATCCCCACCATTGTACTATGTTGTTTAGGTGTATATTTAGGATTTAAAATCCACTGACCACTTACCATCCTTGAATCAAGACCCGGTGTGAAGGAATAAATAAGGATATGAAATGAAGTTCAAAATTCAAAACAACACAAAAACTCTAACAAATCTAATAATGTTCAACTAAGGCAGCTACTATAGTCACTCACTTGATGGCAGAAACAGCAAAGCAATGAACAGCTACCAATGAGGGGACACGCATACTTTTGTTTTCACCATTTCTCTTTGTTATGTTTTTAAATTAAAGTGATTATATATATATATATATATATATATATTTTGCATTTTCCAAAGTGTGAGAGCTGCCTAATCTTCCTAAATGCTTGGCGGTCAATTCAATTAATTACTTCAAGCTAATTAATTATGAACATCACTTTATTGCCAGTAATTATCATTTTGCTTTAACAGGCATTAATTGTTTATATATAAAATAATGCCACTGTACTAAAAAGTGCAATTAAGGGCTTTATAAAACAAATGAATCAGACTAGAACTTTCTACGTGCAGGTGGATAACTGGCTAGCTTCTATGTAAAGAACCACTGGCAAGCAACTTTAAAAGCAGGAGCTGCAGGCTTTCGTGTTTTCCGAGAACGGGTTTACTTACTACTGGGCGCAGTCGATCAGCTGGTACTCGTTGGAGCGCTCATAGCAGGCGCGCACCCCTTCATCCTCCCACAGAGCCTTGGCGTGCTCGTAGAATTCCTGAAAGCCAGCAGAGAAAGGAGGTTTAGAGAAAGACAGGCACTTGCACCGTCAGGAGTGCGGGCACTCGAGGCTGCAGTTCCCGCCCTCACTGACACATGTTATTTCAAGGTACTAGTCCGTTCAACGAATGGGCGCTCATAAGGAACTTTAATTCTACGTGTTGAACACATTCAAAAGTTGACGGAATTAATTCCTGCTCTTCTCTTATTTTAAATTGCTCGTCTTGGGGTAGTCCGCCCCATCCCACCCATCCCACCCCCTGCGTTTTTTTTGGGGGGAGGGGAAAGTACTGAATAATTTTGTTTCTTCACAGAATTGTTTACCTAGAAAAAATACACACTAATCTGTGTTGGAGAATATGCCAATAAATGATTCAGTGTTGTGAAAACAAGCAACTTCATTTGGAAGATGTGCTAGGACTAAATTTTCTTTCCAGGAAAATATAAATTTTACCAATAAAATTATTTTGTAAGTAGGCCATAAAGTTCAGAGGTCAGTAGGACTAATAAAGGCTACTGTGTGGATGCTTAATGGGCTGCCTTGCTTTCTCCTATTAGAAATACAGAATCATATTTCATGAAAAAGCCGGTGGGTTGTATTATACATATTGTGTTTACTGCTAGAAATTTTTCCCCCAAACAAATGCTATTTTAAAAAATTTACCTACTCATACTAATTAATAATATTTCCTGCTAGTATATAAATTTGCAGCCAAACCAATTTAAAATACACAAACACAAATTCCCACAAAAGCCTAACAAAAGGCAACAGTAACTCATTGTTTAAACTGTAGACAAGTCTCTTCCTCCTGGGCCTTATAAAGTCATAGGTCTTTCCATCTTGTTTCCCCTTCTTTTCATATAAACCATTCTTCCCTGACAAAGGGGCCAAAATGTATATGCCTGGGCAGTTTTGTGTTTCCTAAAAATAGTTCTTTAGGGAGCCGAAAATTTTTGTAAACAGTGTCATGTACCCAGAGCACACACAAGAGAATATCATTTTTTCTATATGTTCAATTTTGTAATTTATTTTTGAGTTATAATTTAGGTTTAAAAAATTTTTTTTAATAATGAGAAAAGATTTCATCTGCCACGGCATTTCATTTATGCATGCCACGGTATCTTCAGGCACTTTTGGTGGAGATTAACTGGACAATTCATATGTGTATGTGTCAGGTTTTAATGTACAGTTTGTCCTAAGATGTGGATGAGGAAATAATTAAGCCTGCCATAGCTTAGGACTTTTTCCCAGATAAAAATGTGTAATCTAATAAAGTGGGAAATGTAGTATTAAAGCGTGATGTTTATTTGTGGGGATGGGTGAGCCAAGATTTACAAGGGGTGACAGAATTTTGCTCATCCATCTTGAACAAAGCTCTAATGATTATTAGTTTTGTTTTTAAACATTAAGGATATGTATGGAATCAACTTTAACCTAAGTATCAATATTACTGCAATGTGTTTTGCCTGAAGTGTGGTTGGACACTCTTGCCCATGTCCAGGGTTGTCACTGATGTTTCCGTAGAACCATTCTATTGCTCAGGTGTGCAGGGCTAAGGCAACACAAGTCAGGGGTGTCACTTACAGGTGGGAAGTCAAAGTCAGGCACGTTCATCACGCTCAGAATGTAGTCCACTCTGAACTGGTTCTCGGGATTGGCCAGCTCCACAGGGGGCACCAGGTTGCTCATGGCAGCGACGATGGTCTGAAATGATTTAGCACAGTGGTCAGGGGGACAGCACTGTTGGGGACGGGGCGCTGAAAGACACAGAGCAGGAAGCGACACATACTTCAATGGCCTCCTTCAGGTTGTTTTTGATGTCCTGCACTTTCGTTGCCTTCTCACTGCAGTGGGATTGAAAAGAAAAAGAAAAATCATATTGCATCTTGCCAACTAAGAGTGTCGCTTTAACTATGGTATTCCAACTAATAAGCATAGTATTCTGTTCTTCTTCAAGGAGTTGTGGGTTCAGATCTGAACAAAGACTGGAAATAGCAGAATAAAGGTAGTTTCAAATTATAACTCTGGTTGGGGCAGGTTGCAAAGTGGTATTGAGACCCCGATCGAGGCTACTGTACCAGAAGTTGTCCTGGGTTCATTTATACTTCAGATGTGGTGCCATTAGTTTGAAGTCCCCACACAACACACTAACACTTCCCAAAAATGCTTCTGCTGGCCCTTATCAGAGTCCCTATTGGGCTTGGGGGGGTAGAGGGGGTGGGGGTGGGGAGTGATAGGTCATTATGGGGTTGGGGAAAAGAAAAACAGCCTAACCAGCCTCACGGTCTGAGTTGGGATTGACTCAGTTGCTAGATTAGCATACTGAGAACCAGTGAACCCAGATGCTGGTGTTAATTACAGACTTCAGGGCATTGAGACCCTATTTGTTTATTTAAATAGTTGTTTGTACACTGTTCTGGGTACTATAGCTAGCAGCAATGAGCGTTTCTAGTCTGCAGACGTTAATACCCATTGGTCCTTTAATGTGAATAGGAATGAAGATTTTGCCTCCAAAATTTCTTATGATGGGGGGAGGGTCAGGTCCTTCTCTTAAGTAGAAGTTAGAGGCTTTGTTTCTTTCCTTTAACTTTGATTTAAACTCAGGCATATATAGCCTGTTTGATTTTCATGAAATGATCTATATTGTCACTGGTCCCACAGGTAAAGGTCACAGACTTTGGGTTCTGGGGTCCCCAACAGTATGTTAATTTTTGTACCAGACTACATGGATCAAAATGCTGTCTTTCAGAAACTGGCCTTCATTAGAGGCACTGCCAGGGAAGACTTGTATTTTTTAGGGGACAAGAAAGGACGTCTTGCTGGGAGTATATATGTTGCCACACCTATAGCCAAACCTTGCCTTCCTCAAGTTGAGTGGGGCAAACGGAACCAACACGCACAGCACACCTACTATACATTAGGCCCCAGGACGTGACAGCATCCTTATGCTGAAGGAAGGTGCTACAGCCCTGCCCCGCTGATGGGGAAACTGAGGCTGAAAGTCCCAGTCACAGAGGCTGGAACTGGGGCAACAAAGAAGGAACAGACGTTATCTTTTTTTCTCTGCTTGTAGTTTTTTAAAAAAACTCTTGAGACTCCCAATTTTTAAAGCCTTCACATGGTCAAGTCACCAAGTCATGGAATGGAGGTAGAAATTAAACGATCCCTCTTGAGTAGAACACAAAAGGAAAGTAATGTAGAAGGAGTACAGAGAGGGACTCATAGCAACTGCAGCCTGACAGGGCAGTTAGTGGTGCTGTCGGGGTTGGGGGGTGCCAGAAGGTGGGCCTGGGGTAGGGGGACAGTGGGAGGGGGTTCATGTGCATGCCTGCCAACAGCTCTTCTCCCCATCCCCCCAAGGAACCTGGTCTTTCCTTTTTCAAAGAATTACTGCAGCTACCATTTCCTGAGCATTTTATTCTTTCCCGAATAGCTGTTTGTGTATTTACTTGAGGGGTGGGCCCTCATTTTCTGAATGATCTCATTCCACTCTTTTCCTAGGATTGAGCCCCTTTCTCTTAAAGGGGCCTTTGAGCCATTGCTTTTTTTAAGAGTAAGGTGCCAGCAAGGTTTAGAGGGGCTGCTATCAGCAATGTGGGGTGTGTGGAGGCGTGTAGGACAGATGGTACCAGGAATCCCCTCAGGGTCATTTAAGTAAAAGTGCTTCAAGTTGAGAGAACCAGAGAACCTCAGGAGCAGAGATGATAGGGAGAGATATGCTGCAGACCTGGAGAGTGGAATTTCTGCACAAATCTGAAATCTGATTCTGGCCCCCCGACTCTTAAAGTAACCATCCTATATTGACGAGGATCGAGGGTCCTGACCACTCTGTGGAATTATTCTGGTTTGTATTTGCAGAATCAAAGATCATTTCTGAAAGTATGAATTTCCAGCCTTGGTGTTACAGACTAAAATCAGTTATTTAGATGTTAAGAGATTAAAAGGACGTGTGTTTGTCCCTAATGTTCACTCTTGAATTCAGAATTTAACTAAAATAACCTATTACAAATCCATTCCCGTTCATTAAAAACAGGCTCCATTTCATTTGTAATGAAAGCCATTAACCTTTGGTTTTAAGGTTCCACAATAGTAAAATTAGGTATGTTCGGGTATTAAATACCCAAATCCACATATAGCAAGAGAAAAGTATTTCCAGAAACAAGGTTCTTTCATTCAGTTTGATATTTTGGTCTAAGTAGTAGTATGATAATTGGAAAACTTCCAGTCTTAAAATACGGATATTTTGAGAACGTGTTCAGTATTCATCTACGTATGTGAATAGGTGTGGGAGTATATCAAGTATAAAACAGCTAAAATAGAAATCTGAAATCTAATTCGGGTGTGTAATACTAAAACATAAAATTCTTCCATTGAAGCAATTACTATGTAGATGGAGACGTTATACTGGGGGTTGGCAGGTTTATCATTTCTACTATCACTTAAAGAATTTAATGTTGATTGTGAAATTCATGGAAAATTCCTTAGATGTCTCTGAACTACTTAACAAAGGCAAAATATATGTCAACTGCTTAAATTCTGATTGGCCGAAAAATCGGGGCTGGGGCCAGAAGTTCTTTTAGGATATTGCTGCCTCCCTCTCCCCTCTACATATAAAGCAGATTAGCTGGGTTAAAATTTTAAAAGCTCCTCCCCCAACACCCCATTTCAGCTAAGTGGAAGGCTATGTTGTACTAATTTTCACTCTTTGTGGGAAAAAACAGAAGGAAGACAGAAGACAGACGCAAGATACAGGGATTGCTGAAACATGCAGAGAATTTTTATTTATCACGAATGTTAATACTTATATTTACTTGTAGAACAGTCACAGAGAGGCGTGCAGGCAAGGTATTAGTAGGGTTCAAGGGTTTAGCACAACATCTAGTACACAGTAGATTGCTCACTAAGGACTTGTCATATTTCTTAAATGCCAACTTTTGGTACAGTAGACTGTCAATCATTTTTTATATAGATGACTTTTTTAGATTGTTAAGCTACATTTGTTTGGACAATTAAGGATTTTGTTCAATTTTTTGTTTGTTTTTTCAGGTATCTTTAAAGGTCAGGTAGTAGGGGCCCCCCCTCCCTCCAACAACAGAATAGTATTCTTATTAGAAGTTCCTAAGACCGAGCAATTCCAGCATGCAAATTGTGATAGGACATAGCCGGGAAGATGAGAAACTGTAGCCATCATCTAGGGATAATATATTCTAAAAGAAACAGATGAACAAACATGTGTCAGTTACTTTGTCCCCGACCCCAGAATCCTTTGCCCCTCCCTCCAGACCACAGAAGCTACGTTTTTGAGAAGCCCTGGGCTCACTCAATCAGCTGTACATGTTTTCATGAGAAATGGCTGCTCCATCACTGCATGCTGCGTGTGCAAGCGGAGCCAGAGTGGGTTACCTGACATGCTTGTGCTTGTGTGTTTGTGTATGATAGGCATAGGGAATGCAGGAAGCAAAGAAAAAAATGACAATGAATGGAGAAAAAAAAAAAAAGGATGCCACCATGAATTTCCTTATCACTAGGCTAATGTAAAGTGCCTTGGATTAAAATAAATTTGATTATTTTTAAAAGGCCAGAGGCTTTTTGAGGTGATTCTTAACGACCTGCCACAAGGTGCCAAGGCATTTTTCAAAATTAAGGACAGTGCGACACTGCGTATTTTAATAGAGGGGAAAATTTTTTTTTCAAAGAGGTCTGAAATTTTAAATCAGACCAACCACTGGGTGGACGGAATTTAGTAGATAGTTTTAAAAACAAGTAGCTGATTCAAATGGAGAACTGGGGGAAAATAGAAACCATATGGAAAAACATCAATTCTCAAAATCCTAAACTGATGGTCTAAAGCTGAAATCTATAACTTTCCCCCAGCTGGATCTAGTTATACTTTAAGCATGGCCCAAAAAATTATGTTTTGCACTTCACTTGCTCTGAAATGTTAAATTGTTTACGTGTCATTTGCAAATGTATACCAACATGACTGATGGCCCTCAAATGATTTTTATTTTCTTCCCGGGTCTTTTTGTCCTCAGTTTCCCCGTATGATCTTCATGTTTGCTTTGTTTGTTAAAAAATTTTTTCTGTTTTTGAATGTGCCTACCCATCGCTGTTGCTCCTTGCAGCCTGCGGGTCCTCTTCGCCGCCCCTTTTAAAGAGAGATTGAAAGCTCACCTAATCTGCAAGGCACTGCAATTCACACAAACCCCACACAGCCTCTCTGCATCCTCAACAATCAGCCAACAGCAAATGCAACCGTTCGCGCGCCATCCTCCCATTAATTCTTAGGTAGCTTTTCTGTCTAAATTGGAAGGTCTACTGAGACTGCAGGCCGTAGGGGGAAGAATTCCACACCTTTGGTGCTGTATTAACAGAGCCCTCTGGAGACTCTGGTCGGATACAGGAGGGACAGATAATTATTTTCTTCGGCTTTCACTAAATGTACATGCATTCAAGAGCTAAAGCAGTGATTTATCTCACAATTCTCTTTAGGCAGCACATAAGGCTTCTAATTCTCCCAGGTAATAATCTTCACAATGTTGTCTCTGAATAAAGTCATAAACACGGGAGAATTTTTGCCCATGATTTCCTGGTGCAAAATTAATACCCTCCCTTCTTACAGTGAGGTAAACTACCTATAAGATGTTTTTACTTAAAATTAATTGTTCCCCATAAATTGTTGTCAATTAAAACTACATCTGGACCATGAGGCAGCAAAAAAATTACAAGACTGAAACCCTATCTTTATACATACTAGAAATTCCTCCTTGAAGGTGGAAAGGCAGGTAGGTAGCCCTTCTACTAAGTTTTGTGATTAGCTTTAGTTCAACCAATGTTAATGGTGTCTTTTTTTTTTTTTGCTGGTACTAAAAGGAAGAGAGCTTGAAAATATACATTCGACCTCTGTATTTCTGAAGGTCAAATGATTGTTACATTACTCTTAAAAATGTAATCGGTATGGCAGCCTGCGGACAGTTAAGGAAAATTTAATAGTTCAGCCTAGCCCTAACAAAGTTCAGGATCTGGGAGGAAAAGTCCCAGCACTGCACACACCACCCTTTAGGGATGGATGTCACCATTTCATAGGGAATTCCTAGTGAAGAAGGAAACAGCTTTTGTTGCACTGCCACAGTGAGGAAAAAGAAAAATGAGGCTCAATTTGAGATAAAAATAAGGTATCTAGACCCCCAGGAAGAAAAGCCCTATGTCACTTTCACAGGCTAAGTTTAATATCCTCGGAGATTACCTATGGCCTCCCCTAGAAAAGGGGTGGACTGGGAACAACGCTTCCTCGTTTTGAAAAGAAAATAGAAAAGAGAAGTTCTGGTTTTAAAGCCTCATCTGCATTGCAGACTAGCTCACTTAGGGAGGAGGATCCTTTCTGTAAAAGTTTTTTAATTTTAGGACAATCTGTAAAGTAATAAAACTTTAAGCAACTTATTTCAAAGATGACATCTTCCATCTGACTCAAGCTAAGGTAAACAGTGGCTGCTGCATCTTTTTAAAAATCCTAGCCATGTTCAGTTTTAATCAAAATATTTACCTGGAGGGTACACTGTCAAATTATTTTTGCTTAACTAGCCTCATGAAGAAGCACACTCCCTGTAAATTGCAGGGGAAAAATTTATGCAAGATTTTTTTTTTTAAATTACAAATTCACGGCTAAGTGTCCATTTCAGGTTTTTTGTTTGTTTGTTTGTATACTGACAGGATGGCAATCTCTGTTGGCTGGGCTTTATTAAAAGCTGTGTGAGGAATTAAGAACTTCAGAATTGGTTTGTGACAAGTGAAAGCAACTTAGCATATATATGTGCATATTGATAACTCATTAAGCATCATTCACAAAACTGGTAAACTAGCCCACACTTCTGCATCTTTCTGAATTCCGGCTTAAAGTATAAAAAGCATCCTAAATTAAAATGCCCATTTGTATGGGTAATGTCATTCTTTTCTAACCCTGATTGAGTTAAATTCTAGAATTTTCCATAAAGAGCTGCCTGCGGCATTCCAAAAGGTGATAAAATTTACCTTTGTCTCCCCAATGCATCACAGGCAACAATAAGCAAGTTTCGTCGTTTTTGTTTTTTGGGGGGTGCACAATTAAACTGCTGCTTTGACTCGGTCTCCCTTTTTGAAACTGAAGGAAACGTAACTGAGGCATAAATTCCCCCACTGAATCCAGGTTTAAGAAAGGGAAAGGGATCTCCAACCAGCTACTAATTGTAAACTAGTGTCTTCAGGTGTTTGTAATTGGTGAGGTTAACCTCTCTCACACCAGTGAAAAGAGGCTGGTAAACTTAGCTTTTTCTCTTTCACACATTTTGTTAAATGAAAATGAAGGATGGGCCCCATCTGGGGTCTGGGGAAAAAAGTGAACTCCCTCTATTTGCATTCTTCATGGTAAGCAGGACCCCAATACTCGCCTCCCATCTCTAATATGTTTTTATTTTTTTAAAATTTTTACTCTCACTGCAGTATTGCAACGTTGAAGGACTTTTCAAAGGCAAAAATGCTCCTTGATCCATTCGGAAGTACCTAACTCCCATTCTTTCCATCATTTAAATGTTTCCTTTCATTTCTTTAGGCAAGAGTACTGATTTTTTTTTTTAAGGGAAACAATGATTTGTCCATAATGTTAATAATTCACAAGGGGGTAAAAAAAATGAATTAACAAGGGCTGCCACTTTCAACTTTGTTGTATGTGAGAATATGATTAACGATGTTTCCCTAACAGTTTAGAACATTCAAATGGGTTCGTGGGGCAAGATGGGGGGGGGGTGTCTCTCTGCAGTGCTCAGCTTGGGATGGACAAGGGGATGGCCAAGGCCCATGTCAGCCATGTTGGAGTCACTGCAGCAAAATCTGTGAGGCTGCGGCAGAGGACCTAGCCTCAGAGATGCTGTCACCGGGCCAAGTGCTGTTAACTGTCCTCTGCAACCAGGCACTATTTTCCTGGGATAGGGAAATGTTTGACACCAACACCGGTGCTTTATTGGTATTATTACTATTTGTTGCACCAAAGATTAAAAGGAGGGGGTAAAATCCCTAAAGAGCTCTTCCCAGGATTTTCTAATATGTAAATTAGAAAAAATTAAGTGAAAATTGGCTGCCCAGCCCCCCAAACCTACCTATGCTTCCTAATAGTATAAAATCTGTTACTCTTACTTAGTACCCTTACACAGATTTGACACTTACTCTCCATTAAACCCATTAACATGCAGGATCCTCATCTGCTTCACAATGGTGCTTTTACCAGATTCTCCAGCACCTAGAAAATGAAAGTAAGTCTCAGGTTATGAAGGAGGCATTTCACACACTTTGGGCAGGGAGAGGACTGCTGGTTTTTGTTTTTTCCACAGAAGCAACACGCAAAAATCAAACACAAAATAATAGATTTGCAATTTTCCTTGACATTTCGACGCAGAGAAAATAAAATAAATATCCAACAGTGTCTACCTGCAGTATTTCACCATCAGAATAACAAACAAGAATGGAAGCTTTTGCTCTTTGTAGGGTTTTTTGTTTTGTTTTGTTTTCTCTTGGTTGTTGTTATTTTAAAAATTATGGAGTGGCGATGGAAAAGGGCAAAGAGAAGGAATGACGTAATTTTGTTCTTTGAGGGGGGGAAAATTGAAGTTAAAACTGCGAAAAGTGAATCCTTGAGATACGAGCATTCACTGGTAAAATGTACACATAAATGTATCTAGCCACATAATTCACTGTTTGTCAGATGTTTCAAGGTTAAAATACCCAGGACTCACAAACAATGCCCAGCCAGACTCTGCCGTTTCTCCCACATCACGTACTGATGCAGCACTCCCTCCTGCATGTTTTCACAATGCAGCTTCTTTCTGTCCAGGTTTCCCACCCCTTGGGCTACTTAAAAATCCACCCCTAAAACCACAATATTAACATTTTATCCATTTATTCACCCTCCTTTCCCCACAAATTATCTTCCTAAAGATAATTCTCTCTGGGTACAACAACTATGTTGCAGACGAAAATGGAAGACCATCAATTATCTGTCATCTTCTCAAAAAAACACATTTTAATATCAAATATAGTGTTTGAGACCATATTAACATTAGGAAACCTGCAACAACAACAACAGCAAGTAGAAATAAAAGGACAAGACTTTAATCATAAGGAAAAGTATTCCTGGAAAACTACTGAATTTCAGATTCCAGGCCCTTCCCGACCAAAAGAGAAGGGAAGGAACATATGCCTCCATTTTAAATCACCATTCATTTGTAAAAATATATATATACTATGGAAAAACACATTTCCATCAAGCTAGAGGGAGGATTGCTGCTATACTGCATTTTTTTTCTGAATGCACACTCTCCAACAAATCATCCTCCTGGGAACAGTTTTTGCCCTCCTCCCACACAAATCTGTTTGGTTTTTATCCCTTTTCTTTTTACTTTTAATTGTATTAATTGTTTTAATGCCCAGATAGCAAAGCATTCCTCCTCCTCTTGCCTTTTCACAAAGCTATAATCAATATCTGTAAAAGTTAAAATTAGTTTCCACAGAAACATTGATTTCAAAGCAAACACTCTATCTTAATGAGCCCAACTCATAAATTAAAATATAAAAGGCACTACTAAGAGATTCCATGAAGAGAATACATAATATTAATCACAATCTCCAATATTCTAATTTCAGAAATGTTAAAATGCGTAACACCTATCTTTCACAGGCCCAAACAGATCTGTGCCTCAGTTTCCACACTTATGAAATTGGAGAATTGGGCTTAAAAAATCACTGTAAGATCATTTGTGGTTTTGTAATTCACTTAACTTTTAGGTCAATAAATTAAGATAGAGTAAAAAGAGGATTTGGGGGCATAATTGTGATTCCTCTTTTGGGAGGAGGCATAATTTGATAGGAATCACTATTTAAAAATGCTTGGGCTCAGATTTCTATGCCAGAGGCTATCAATAAACCATGATAAAACGTTAGCCATATAGACTAGGACACCTTAGAAAAATTAGTCCACAGTAATGCAAGGTGTGTTCAGAGTAATAGTCTCGAATTAAGTGGAGACTTTGTGATCACTGTACAAAAGGTGTTAGAAATTTAAGGTACCATTAACATCACACTTGACTGAAATTAGTATTCAGATAGCAAGATAGCATTCACAGGAAAGATTCTAGATTTTTCCAGACTTATACTTTGAAATCAAGTCATGTGCATATTAATATTCACACAGCATAATTTTACCTTTAGAAGTTTTAGACAAGATACCAACATATGTATACTATTTAATTACTGAAATTGCAAATGCATAAACAGAGACTTATTTTCACTTAATTTTCTGCTTTTATAAATCTGGACCCAAGAGAACAAAGACGTGACCCATCCAAAAAGAGCAAACCAAACACCACCACAAAGGAAAACCAATCCTTTACATTTTATTCTTTGTAATCAAACTGTTTTGTTGAAATGTGACCATGAACTAGGTCTTAACCTAGCAAATTCACTAATTTATTCAGATAGACAAATTACCAAGGAAGTAGAAAACTTCCATTCTAATTAATGCTAGTGTAATTCTTCTGGTCATTTCAACTTTTTTATTTTTTTAATGTTTTCTTTTGTCTTTTTATTGTCCCCGCCCCCCCCGCCCCAAGCAGCACCTTAAAGAAAAAAGGTGTTAATAAATTTTTTTCTTTTTTGCCAAACAGTTGAAAACCCACAATCAAAAAAGAGAAGAAAAACCAAACCAAATGTCACTTTACAAACTAATTAATGTCTTTTCTTCTCCCCCCACCTGAAAAAAGAGCCTTCCCCTTAAAGAGCTCTCAATACCCTTTCCCACCTTGGAAAGGACAAAAGAACCCAAAAAACCTGCCATTTCCACACCAAGAAGCCATTTACAGACAAATGTCATTTTCGTTTTATCTTATTTGTGAATACTTTTTTTTTTCCTCCTTTTTTACAAAGCACTCTCAATGTGGCCAACTAACAGGGAAATGTGTGTATGTTTTAATGGTTTATTGCACGGGGTGGGGGGCGCTGCTGGGGGGGCAGCTGCTACAATTAATTCTCTTCTTTGCTTTTCAAAAAGCCTGCAAGTCTGGAAGGGGAAAAAAAGGTCATACTGTAAAATGACGTGTCATTTGGCTTCCCTGGCACTTTGCGTATTAAGTCCATGCACTTGGGGGGGGGGCAGGGGGGTCTTATTTTATTTGATTCTCCTTCTCTTTCTTCCACAGTCCGGCCTGGCCCGGGACACATCTGCTCCGCGTACACAGTCGGTCTTGCCCGAAACGCACCAA